ATGACCTAACACTCCAAGCTCAGAGTGCAGAACCAGTAACTCAAGTTCAGCTATGTGGTATGGCTTGTCACATCCAAATTAGGCAAATGAGGGTGTGGGTTATCCAGTTTAGAAATCAGCATTAAAGATATTCCAAGAGAAGGAAGGGATCTTGAAGCTGATGAGCGAATTAAGGTTGAGCACACGCAGTAGTTCTGAGCAAGCGGTTTTTCGTTATACAAGTTCCAGAAGTACACAGAAGGATACATTTCCCAACCTATCATCTGAAGTATAATATAAGCAAACCCTGTATTTGGGAATATGATATATTACTTATTGCTCAGAATACATCGTTTAACAAACACAGGCCAAAGTCTTGCACAAAACAGCCAAGGGTGTGCCTCTGAATGTCTCTACTTACATGTGTAAAATCAGTAGCTGCCAGGAGCAGTATGGAGACAATTGCACTATGACTGACCCTTTGCAAAATTTCATCAGTGCCTGACTTAAAAAAACAACAACAACAACAACAAAAAAAAAAAAAAAAAAAAAGAAAAATCCCAAAACAACTTTGTCAGTTTTGCTCCTTCTGAACTTTATCTCCCTATATCTTCTACAGGATTTGCTAAACTTCTCTATGAAAATTGATTCTGCTGCAATCTTCAGACTTACAAGTTCTTGTTTTAACTTGCTAGCAGCTAAGCTGATGCACGGTGGACATGTAGTGCACAGAGATTCTGCACTTCCACTTCTTGCACAGCTGGAGCATCTCCTTCTACACCTCCACTGTCCAGACTCACCAGACCCAACACAAGACTAGTATTAATCATCCATCATTGAACTCATATTTGACAGCGATCCTCTTGTGGTGCCAAAAGCAGACTCCAGAGCTCAGAGTTGTTCAACACACTTCCAACACCCCAAGCTTATATCCTTATTCTACACAGTCTGTATATGCAGGTCTGTTTAAAAGTTAGGTGGTCTCCCTTCAGCAGTTCTATAAACATGTCATAAAGCTTCCTACTGTTTTTAAGCAAGCCCCATTTGACATGTCAAAAGACATTAGAAAATCATAAGTATTACAAGTTATGGCCACAAAGTACAGCTGATTTTAAGAAAAATACGTATTTTAAGGACATTTAAATATGACTGGCTGGATTTCTTCCTGTTATATTGCCACCAACATAGATTCAAGAACTGATTTTTCAAGGCCTGCTTTTCCTCCCACAGAAAATTACTTCAGTTCAATAAAAACTGTTTTCAGCTGTTTTACCAGCGTTTAGAATTCACTGACCTAAACTTAGCCCTTCTGTATGTAGCTCATGAAGATCTTATTCACCCACTTCACTCCCATCTGTAAAAAGGAATCTGCAGGTGAAGAAAATGTGGGGACCTAAAGAAGTGCATTAAATCACACAAAGTACAATGGAGAACTTCTCCATACCAAGCAAGAGAATTATCAGTGAATTCTGCAGATATTTAAACCTGTTTCCACTCTTCCATCAAGCAACTTCTTAACACATAAACAGGAAACTGAAATAAATGTCAGCTTGCACCTATCTACTTTGGAAAGCAGGAATCATCAACTGTCTATAGTAACATGTACATATTTTACAGTAAGTTGGCTCCTATAAAATGTAATAAAAATAAATTGATTTATTTTTCAAGTTGCTTAATTCAGCCAAACCTTTAGCCTGTTTCTCTAGAGCAGAACTAACTTCTGTGCTCTTATCTGCAGAGGCTTGTTGTCCCATTGTTAGAGGAAAAAATATGAATAGGCATGCATTTCCTTTTTTTTCCATTGTTACTAGAGTTTAAATTCATTGCTAACATTTATTTTTAAAATCAGCTATCAGAGAAAATTGCCTGTTTCTAATATAATAAATACCCCAATTTTCTTGAAGCCACGATGAGAACACAGCACAAAGCTCGATACTGGATTTGAGATACTGTTGAACTTTTAAGTGTACCAATATCTGCTGTATTTCCTTGTATTGGGTATTACAGTACAGAAGTTGATATATTCTGTAATCTCTCCACAGAAGTCATGGAGCCAGCATAAGCGCACTTCAGCTTCTGATAAAACTGTAGAAAGCTTCATTTTTTGTTTTTCAAATCTAAGTCAAGCTATTGCACCAACGTTAACGCAACCTTGGGAGTCAGTAGGACAAGAACACAGATAAGGATGTACAGAAAAGAAGCTATTGTTTTAAACTACTGTTATGGGGTGGAATGAGTTGGAGTGCATGACTGCTGCATTTGTTTTAAGAGAGTCCAAAAGGTTAAGCTTCCTCATAAACACTAGGCTCCACACTGGAACAGAGGCACATGTTATTATCCAAAGCAAAGTAATATGCAAAAACGCTTCAAAATATGCTGCTATTGCCCTGAATAGAAAAGGGGAGGAAAGAAATAAGTATGTGCATGAGCAAGGAGGGGGAACAGTTAAACCAGAGAGAATATCTGTGAGTACACTCACAAGAAAAAGCTGAAAGGGAGCTCTTTGATCTAAATGCAGTCTTGGTTAAAAGGTCTTTCAGCTGCAAGTAGAAGACTGTTCTCAGCTATTTGATGCCCTCTGTGTTCAGGGAACAGGATCTTGCATTCTTTATAAATAAGAGGAATTCCAGAGATACCTGTGTCTCCATCATCAACCTCTCACCTTGCTTTGATCAGTCACTTCTGACAAAAGCAAACTAGAAGTACTTTATTATCTATTTGAAAATAGAACAGCGTTCTAATTTCTGAAAGTATTACAAATCCAAAAACAACCTTCAAATACACTTAAGTCCAAGACCTGTAAGAAGTAAAAAAGTTGAAAGAGAAACTCAAGTTGCAATGATAAAATTTGACTATTTCTACAAAGGGAAAAATAACTAGTCACAGATAATGCAGGTTGGAAAATAAGCAGAAAAATACCTTACTAAGCCAGGCTGGAAGGTTCCTCTACGGATTGTCTGGCTCACTTGCTGTGCTCAGAGCTGCCAGGCCTGCATCCAGACTCCTCAACCTCTCTGGGCAACCTATTCCCAGTGTTTGACCAACCTCACAGTAAAAAAAAAAAGGCTTTATGGTTTATTATGGAATTTTCTGTGTGTGTGCTCATTGCTTCTTGTCCTGTTACTGGACACCACTGAGAAGTCTCAAAGCAGGTGAACACCTATTAACTAGTAATAATAACTCACTTTCTTAGAAGAAAATTTACACCTCCTGCTTGCAATTTTGAAGGCTACAGAATTTGTGGTTTTACAGAAATGTCAAACGCACCAATTGTAACAGCAGAACATGTCGGAAACAGGACAAAAACAGTTTGCTTATTGCATTTGCATCTTCTTCCTAACTCCTCTATGTTTAAAAAAAAAAATTATAAGGGGAAGAAAAGATAACTGAAGGTTGCTTTTAGCCATTCATTCCTATTCACAAAGCCAAACATTTGGATGGGTACAGCAGAACTCAATTGGTTTCCACACAATAAAATGTAAAAAAGCAGTATATATTTCAGCACTTAAGTGATATCTTTATACTCTGCTGGCAAGCAGAATACTTCCAGAACAGGCAGTGCTGACTAAGGTTAGTCAGCAAGATCCAATAGGCCACAAAAAAAAACACAAAGAAAAAAAAAAAGTCACCTATGACTTGGGTTGATGCCCAAGTAGGTGAAATTCTCGTCAAAGATAACTCAATATAATTTAATTTCACTTCCCATGTAATTTGTTTTCATAAGACCTATAACCTGAGCCAATACATACACAAAGTGTGCAAGAGCAGGACTTTACACAGCAGTTGAGATTGAATTCCACAACAGGAAGGACAATTAGAGCTAGAAGCTGTTTTTTCTTTGGAGTAGCCTATGTTGTGGCTGACCTTTTAAAACAGGAGAGCCGTTCAAGGATTCACCTACATATTCACATTGTTCTAAGCAAAAAATAATAATAATATGAACTGCAACAATTACTCTAACATTCAACTCTTATTCCTGACCTACATGATCTGTGCTTGGGAGTTATTCTCAAATTACTCACACGTGAACAAACTCTTCAGAAGTCTAAGTTTCCTCTTCCCTAACTCAGTGAACACTTCAGTCACCTCGCAGTTCAAGCTCTTGTGGGAAAAAAAAGTTACGGAAGAACAAGTTAAGATGCTGTTAATCCTGACTGAAATACAACAGCTGAGTTTCTCCTCCACCTTGCAGACTTGGTTGAGTGGGAAGAGAGATTTCCTGCACAACTTAAGCAAGACAGCTTCCAACGCCAAATGAAAGTACCACAAGGCCACCACCCTCTCTTTGACTTTAAAGGAAGACAATGTCTGGGAGAGTTTTCTCCTATTTAAATGCTCAACTACTGTGAATAAATGTTACCACAGGTTCCAGCACATGAGCAGAAGAGGGTGAAATATTTAAAAATCCATTCAACTTTTAATACAAATAGAATCACAGAGTTCTAAGGATGTCTCAAGGATCACATATCAAAATATTCACGTTCAGTGATTTCTTCTTACCCAGCCTGGTTTTCACTACTGAAGCGTGGCTTTTGCTTGGCCTTCACGTTTCAGACTAAGTGCATTCCACTCAATGACACTTTTCCAGCATTGTTTCCTAGGCTGCTTGCAAATAAGCTTGTTACAATTAAGAAGCTTGCACGTGTTAAATTTTTAACTCACCACTGTTTGTCAGGTATACTTTCACAGAGCCCCATCATTAACAGCTGTGCAACAAGCATTTGCTGAGTTAGCCCAGTAAAACTGATGTTTAATTCACAGACATCAGCACTCACCCTCTATTCAGATCAACCTTAAAGTGAAGAAAAAAAGAGGAAGAATGAAAGAAAGAGGAGGAGAAAAAAAACAAGCCGACAGATAGGTCAGAATCATAACTTCTACACCCAAGGCAGGATGGATAAGAACTGCATCTACACTGCTTACGGGGATGATAAAATGCATTTTAATTCACTTAGTATGATGAATTGTAACTATTTTCCCATTTTTTCACAATAAGATGAATCAAAGCAACTGCTCGACTGTTTTGTTTTTTAAACACATGTAACATTTATTAATAACAATCTTAAAGTGATAACTTCAGAGTCATGAGAAAGGGGGTTGTTGTCAGTAAACACACAATGTAAAGTAGCAAGGTTTTTATATTATTAAAAATGATTTTAACATAGTGTTTAGCCCAACCAAATTTAACATTAGAAACATTCAAAACCACTAAAAGTCTTGCTATGAATTCTATTAAGCTTATAAAAACTTAATTTCAGTAGTCAGAACTAATTTGTTATTTATATAAAATTTAAAATTCTGTCATTTTTGTAAACAAAGCTCCTAAGCATTTATAAAAGAAAAAAGTTAGTTTACATCCCATCAAATTGCAGCACATGTGTGAAACCTCAGGAATTGTCAGGCAAGAAGCATAATCAGGCACAGAACACAACAGAGATTCCACAGCCAGCTGCTGACTGCACACTCCTGTTGACAACGATCATCTTAATTTATACTAGTCCATTATCAGTACCATTATCAGTTCCAGGCAAAAATTACATAAATCCTCTACACAGAAGATTTCACAGAAAAAGAAGTCATTTCACATAGGTTCGCAAAGGTTCTGAGAGCTCTGAGTACTCCGACTTGCAGTGAGTTACAGCGTCATGTCTTTCAGGAATTTCCAAACACTTCTTCACAAGCACTTAGCTTTGGCAGGTACTGGGCTTGTCAAAGACCATGACAACAAATCAGCACGGAATTTTCTGTCTGCTGTCAGAACATCAAGGAATACTGTAACTGATTAAGTGTCAGCTAGCCCACCTGCCTGAATTAAATAAAAATTAAAGATAGTGTGCAAGACCATTTTATTGTGAAGCTGTCAGCTCAGGCTCAGATCAAGAAAGGTATGACAGGCAATTAGTAACTTGAAAATGCTTCCTGTTTTCTTAGAGAAGTTACAAAGCTACAAACAAGGTGGTTATCTTACCCGTATCAACTGGCACCATGGTCAATTTGTGTGAAGAGCAACAACTGACACTGAGACTGTAAGTTTGTTTACATCAGGACTCTTGAGAACAAAACAGTTTAAACTTGATATAAGTTACATCAAGCAGTACATTTGCAGTAAGCCTTTTTTAACTGACAACATAGTTTTACAGTTGTCTTAATTAGCATACTTCCAAAGTAAATCTAGCTAAACCAGATTTAACCAGTATAAGTTCTCCTGAGCCAACACACCCCTAACTGTTAGTGTCTAGAGGTGACTTTCAGACCAACACTGAGGCACTTATGTGAGGCACTGCAGGAAGGGCTGCGCTGCCATTGCCCAGCATGTGCTTATTTGGTTGTTTTCTGTATGGTTCTTCGACTTGTACTGACTTTAGGAATTACATTCAATTAAAAATAGGAAAAACGTTTTCATGACTACCTGATGGTAGCAGTAAGTGAACTCGGTGATTCCTTGTAGTTGACTTCTCCAATTTTCTTTGGTGTAAATTGTTAGCATTACAGTTTTACCAATTTTCTATGCCTAATCCCCTCAATTTGCAGTTCCCCCCACAAAAGAACTAAAAAAAAAAAAAAAAAGCATCAAACAAGCACACAAACTCAACCTCTTCTAAAAGCAAAGTAATGGTTCAAACCAATTTTCCTTTTCCAAGTCTTTGAGAGTTCTTAACTTTAGAGTATAAAAATGCTAAAACAAATTAGGATTCATCAAGTTAAACAAAAGCACTGAGTGGTCTTAACTAACACAAGCAGGCTAATGCTATTCAAACCAGTTGTTTGTCCATCAACCACAATGAATTTTCAAAAACAGTTGTTTCTTTAATGTAGAAAGAAAAAAAAAAAAAAGCTGCAGTACAGATACAAAAGCTAGAAACATGTGCCCTCTCATCCCCCATCTCTTTGAACTGATGCAAAGCCAAATGAAGACCACATACATAGATCAAGTTCTGACAGGTAAGAGAAGAACCAGTCCAGACATAAAATTCCAGGTTTTTTCCCCTCTCAAAGATTTACATCGCACTTGTTGAACAAAAGCTTCTGGCCTTTAACACTGTCTTGTTTGCCAGCTACTCCAGGAGCTGCATCTAAGTTTCCAGTGCCACCCTGTAAGTAACTCCCACACACACCTTTAGTGTTTTTGATGGTTGACAATGCATATAATCCAAAGCTGTGCATCAAAGCTTAACAATTTTCATGATCAAGGCATAAGCCTGTGAAACTACAGAGAAAAAAACAAACAAAAAATCCCACCAAGAAAAATGAAACAAAAAAAGAAAGCTCACAACTACAAATTAAAATTTGCCCTGTTATCTATTTTATGGCTTACGATCTACATAGATTAACATTACACACTGTTTCTTCAATTACTTGCAGAACTATAGTTTCATTCTGTAGTTACATTAATATCTGTCTTCACATTCAAAATCTGGAAAGCAATCCTGTGAAGAATTCTGCTATTACTGTTTATTTTTTAAATTAAATTTGACCAGCCTTATTCAAAATTAACAAGACATCTCATGCAAAGTGATAAGGGCAAGAAAATTTTATAAAAATACACTGTATAGAAGAACATTTGGAAAATTGCATAGAAAATATCCATTCATTTAAACCAAAATAAGGCACAGTTTTATTAGATATGTTTTGGCTGTAAAAATGCAGATCTATTTTGATTACTCTTATGTTATGAACAATATTTGTCATAAAAATATAGGTGTGTGAGTAAAAACCCTTCTACACAGAGCATGAAATACTCTAGAAAATTTCACCAAATTTACTGCAACTCATCTGTAAAAAATTTCAATACTATTTTAAGCCAGGATCCTAGATGTTATTGTCCTCCAGGCTGCTCACTGGCCGGTGCCGTGCCTTCTTCATTTCCTGGGTAATCCAGATGTTCCATCATCTAGGTGCAAAAAGTAATAAAAAAGAGGACAGTTCTTTATATAGAAATATTGCTTTACCCCTACTGGTACAAGTATTTGTTAGCTAAGAGAAATATAATTAAACATATGTTAGGAGTGCATTTTAGCAGCATACAGATAGGAAGTCCTCTATGTAGATCAGAAAAGTATTCAAGCCAAGTAATCAAAGTTATCTTGGTTAATGCTTTCCACTATAAAAGCATTTACTGTCCAAAGATTCAAGTATTCTTCTAGAAATTAAGTGTACACATCAAAAGTGTCTCAATTATTGAAATGGAAAACAAAAAAAAGAGATTGAGGTAAAGAAAAAATTTCAAGACACACTTTGGAGAACTGGAAATAGAGCCTAGATCCTGCTTAACATTTAAAGTTAGTAAGCAATAGCTTGAATAGAAAAGACTTCCTTTTTTTCATAACAGTACAAGCTAGCTGTGTACTGCAAATGTGTCCTTTGTAAACTTTCCTATCTTAAAAAGAACAAAGGAATTGGAACAGTAAAGATGTGCTGCAGAAGACAACATGAACTAGATTACTGCACAATCAATTTTAACTTCAGATTAATGCAACTGATTAGAAGTCACCTGAGTAACACAGGACAATTTTGTTCTTCCCAGACGAAAAAGCAGCTTGTTTCGCTATCCACTGCTCTACTGTTAGAGAAAAACAAGGGCTCTGGTTTCATTCCTGGGACAAGGCACTGATCACAAAGGTAGTAGGCACGTTTGTTAGCATGACAAACCAAGATCCTCCAGTTGGAGAACTTCATCATTAACAGGAGACCAAAGATTGGGAAGTTTTGGATAGTTTTAACAACTGACACACAGGGACAGAAAACATGAAAGCAGTAGCACTGCTGAAAACAGAACATCTCAGGGGCTCCTGAGTAGCATGGCAGGGTTATCAGGGCAAAGGCATAATACTTTCAGCATCAAAAGGTAGAAAAACCTACATAGTTTCTTCAAGAGTGAACCATCCTGCTTAGAAGTAAAAGGGACACAAAGGCATGGATGAATGAGCTGCTGGCTACATGCCTTCCAAGCAGGGTAGATTTCCATGTGATGAGGACAAGATTACTTTCCTGACGGGCACCCACTGAACTACCCTTAAACTTCAACACTGTTGTATCACAAGCATTTAAGCACAATATGACTCTCCAGATAGGGCAAAAAAGAGTCATTCTCTTAATCTCTCCTCTTCTCTAGCTATGACCCACATCTGTGCCACGTCCTTTTATACAAACGTAGCAGGGTCAATCCAAGGTATGCAAACATATCTTGTTAAAATTAGGTTATTTCAACTAAGCTGCTTTAAACCCAGATGCACCAGCATGTTGTACAGCAAGCTGAGACAACCAGAAACAAGGTACTGGGATTGGGAGTAAGGATTAGGAGTCTAGTGGGCACACTATCAAGGTAACTAAGACCAAAAGAGGTCTTTTCACACCTCTTATCTTCACACATCAGAATTTAGGAGAATTAAGGCTTGCTGACACACCTAAGAATAACAATAGCACACATGCAGTCTAGCAGCAAATACCAAACAATGGTAAACTTTACATTCACTTCAGTATATCTAGAATATTGGCCCTGTACTGTGACCAAAAACCCACATCAAAAGTCAACCAAAGCAAAACACTCCCTACAATTACAGAAACCAAAGTCATTTTAAATGAGGATTCAATTATCTGTTTCCAGGAAAAACAAAACACAACAAACAAAAAATTAAAAAAGAAAACCAACCAGTACCACATTACACAGAGTATGGTGAATATGGCTTCCCCTTTACCCTAGGGAGTATCGTCCAACAGCTGGCGTAGAGAGGACAGTGTTGGAAAGTATTTTTGTAAAATGTTTCCCACATTAAAGTGACAAACTGCTTCCAGAAGGAAGAGTTAACATTATTCACAATAATTCACTGCATCCCAACATGAAAGATTCTTTTCTGAATCAGATAAGCAGCACAAAATGTGGTTATGACATAATATGTATTTAATATTTAAAGTCTCTCCTTAACGAATATTTGAGATCCCTTTAGAACCAGAATGGCTAATAGAACTGGAGCACCTCTCCTATGAGGAAAGGTTGAGGGAAGTGGTATTGTTTCACTTGGAGAAGAGAAAGCTCTGAGGAGACCTTATTGTGGTCTTCCAAAACTTGAAGGGAGCATATAAACACGATTGGAAATGGCTGTTTACGAGGGTGGATAGCGATAGGACAGGGGGGAATGTTTTTGAAATGAGACAGGGGAGATTTAGGTTGGATATTAGGAGGAAGTTTTTCACGCAGAGGGTGGTGATGCACTGGAACAGGTTGCCAAGGAGGTTGTGGATGCCCCATCCCTGCAGGCATTCAAGGCCAGGCTGGATGTGGCTCTGGGCAGCCTGTTCTGGTGGTTGGCGACCTGCACATAGCAGGGGGTTGGAATGGATGATCTTTGAGGTCCTTTTCAACCCACGGCATTCTACAATGATTCTAAACTTAAAGGTATTTTGGGCTTTCTGGTACATAAAATTCACAAGGCCAAAAAACCTGCTATTTCGAATCTCTCCACAATGTATGACAAGGACAGCCCACAGCTTGGAAGTCAGGCACAACAGATGCCTTTCTAAACGTGTAGCTTGCCTTAAGTAGCTTCTTGCATAAGTTCATTTCAGTTGTAGGTTCTCTCAGAATAACTGCATCCTCAAAGCCAATGCTGAAGCAACAGAAATCTTTATAACAGCCAGCAGCAAGATGAAGATACTAAAATTTGGACAAAATTGTTGTTCCAAGCCTGTACATCAGACTGTACATTGTGGGGAGCTGACAAACATTTTTCAAGTGGAACAAATTCACCAGCCTTTTTCCTACATCTGAATTTCTGACATTTTTGGGGGGCTGCATGGGGTGTCATGACAGATAAAAGAGTACGTAGTACCTATACACACTAGAAAATAAGATTCACTCCAATAACACTGCACTCACCTAATTCTTAAACCACACCTGTGATTAATTCACAAGCGTCTTGAAAACATAATTTAAACTGACAGTACAAAACAGCAGATGCTTGCTGTGTAACATGCCAGTCTGCTGATTTATTGTTTCAGAGAAAGGTAAGGAACATTTCTAAGCACTTCCTATTGACTGGCTGTAAAAAGTTGGCAAGACTATCTGCACAACTAGAAAATTCTACAACTGCTAGATTTTCCATGGTGCTACTGAAATGATTTCATAGATTGTACCAATCAAAACTAAACAGTATTTTCAAGGTCACAACTAGGAAATAAGTATCAAACATCGTCACACAGACATATCTGAGGAGTATAAGCAAACTAAAAGACGCAGAAAAATCTGTACTATAAACTTTACAGCAGCAATACAGTCTGGCCATCAGATTTTAATGTGTATCCAATCCCTCCCACTTCTTAGCTTCCTTCTGGGTTTGTATCTAGTTTCTTTACTACAAAGGCTTTTAAATCAACCTTAACTTGTTAAAGTACACTTTATTAGAAGAGAGAAGCTAATGAGAAAAGTACTTTCTAGTTCAGAATTTAAGATGCACTCAGCCATAGTTCACTGTCTAAAATTTTCTTCAGCACAGAGCGGACAAGTAAAGGTAAAATCTTTAAACATACATACACAGCTAGTCTGCTGTCTGTAATTCAAGCTTATATTCAGGTGCTTAAATTCTGCAAAAACATGAAATTTGGAAATCTGCCTTGCTCTCTACGTGCTGTGCTTGCGAAAATGGAAGTGAAAATAAAAACCATGTCTGTGTCAGCAGTCATGAGCTTCAGCCTACCAAGACGAAACCTTCTTGGTATGGTCTAGGAACCATACAGCAGCAATACCTCAAAAGCTGGTCTGAATCCTTACTTCCTGTCCTGCTGCAAGCACTGCAGACAGTAGAAGATGAAGTAAATTGCTAAGCAGCAAGATCACAGAGAGACTGCAGAAGCAGTTACTAAAGACAAATTAAAATGCTTAGCATTCTAACAGACAGAAGACAATAAAATTGTTGTTTAGCTCTGGGAAGGTTTCTTACCAATGCAGTGGCACACAACGATTAGCAGGGGAACTTGCACGTATTTAATAACAGCACAAATACCATCACTTTTAAACACCTGAAGTTACTCCTAGGGATTTGGGAAGTTAAAGAATTAAAAAAAGAGTACAAAGCCTTCCTTCGGTCTTGAGAATCATGGCTCCATTCACATTTTATAAAGTTTTTTGTGCTCCTTTAAAGGAAAAAACAACAACTGAGAATAAAAGCAAATTTACAACTTGACTTCACTGCTAACTCCTTTCTAATGAATTACTCTGAAAAAACTGAAAGGAAAATAGATGAGAAGAAGAATGAAAAGAAGCAGAGGGGGACAAAAAGCAAAAAAATCCCATAAGATGATTAATCAAATTGCATTAAAAGAAGGCTATAAGCACACCTTGTAGCAAAGGCGTCCTGGGAGAGTCCGATACCTAAATAAAATTCATTCAATTATTAAAATCATATACAACAATGACAACTTATTTTTAAATTAGAAAAAAAAAAAGCTAACTAGTGGATTTCAAGAAATAGCAGCATTCATGAAGCTCAGTCATCTGATACCCTGTACATCCTGCTGTACCCCTATCTTAGCATGCTTTGCCCTGACAAGTCTGCAAGGTTTCACTGTTCTCATAAGGACAAAGCAAAGCTCCCCAGATGTCTGATTACCCCTTATCCATGGAGCACTTTCAATCAAGTCCAAATTACCATTATTTCAGCAAGCTCAAGGTAGCTAAAGGTAATCTTGTCTCCTTCCCGTATCTTTCCTCCTCAGAACAAGCACTCAAAGCTGGAGATTTGGACATTGTGATTGCATGGATTTTTTGTTTGTTTATTTGCATCAGTAAGGGCAGTTCAAATTACAGCCTTATGTTGGGAGGACAATGTATGAAAAGGATCAACATGACAGCATTCTGTGAGCATAACTTGAATAACATCCTCAGGAAAAGAAAACATAGAAAAGATCTTTGGAAAACTCTAGAAAAGGAAGAGTTTTACTAAAAGTTACACAGAAGCGTTCAGTCAGAGACAAGTCTAACTGGGGGTGGAGTAGAGGGGGGTGGAAATCAGCAGTTTAAACTGTGCCAGAAATGAGATCATCTGACCTCAAAACATGCTAAAGTTCACAGCAGTTTTAATCCTTCAAGGAACCAGTTTAAAGGACGTGAAGTAACTACTATGGCAACATAATTCTCCCAAGTATGAGTTTTGCTATTAGAAGTGCAAGAAATTTTTGTTGCTAAAGAGATTTGCCAGGTTTGCTTAGGCCAATAGGCTGACCTTACTCAGAATTCAAGCGAGGAAAATAAATAGTGAAGCTCTTTTCCCAACAGTCAGTTACGATTGGATGGATTTTGATATGTAACACATATTCCAGAATAGCAAACAGCCACCAATTTGTATTCAAATGGATGGTAAACCAAACTCATTAGGACCTACAGAGATACATTCCTATGTGCTAGACCTACAAAAAGTCTTCTCTTTTGTAGACAAAGATACAATGGTATCCAGTTAAAGTGATAATCTTTTCCTGAGCAATTGTAAAGTCAGTCAGCCTTCAGCAGGCACAGGTGCAAAACATAGATTACCTCAACAGGAGGCAATGCTTAACTGACAATACCTCAGGAGCTGCACGACTACCAGTTTTACTTTTAGAGGAATTGCCACCAACTGGCTTTTCCATTGCTCCACTTCAACTTTGCAATCCAGAAGCTGAGTAAAAAGCTGCTTCTCTGCATCACCAGCTTCCACGATCAACTCTCTACCCATTCTCTGAGCTGAGTTCAACACAGCCCACATACAGGAGATAGTTTCTGAACTCAACATTTCATTTCAGGTCTCTAGCATTAAATTTAGAGCAATACTGAGAACAGTCTTAGAATAAATGCCAGCTGGCAGGGGCTCCTGACACATAGTTACCACAGCTGTGGCACAATCAGGGCAAGGTGTGCGTGTCCACAGACAGAGGCAGATGGCTGCTGGTACTGAAGTACTGCAATACCTGGGTAGTGGCAGAGATTACCTCAGGGGAAATGCAGAATCCCACAGGACTGTACATGTGCACTGGGATAGGAAACAGTTAGATAACCATCCAGATACTTTGCTGTTGAACACTCCATATCATCCTGACAATGTAAAACACCAGTGACACACAGGAACTAGTGTCTAAGATTCTTGTACATCACCAGCCCTCTTGAACCATCTCTTAATGACTGCTACTGCAGACTGGAATCTGCATACTCAACTCAGTGACTCATATTATACCACATCAAGATGATAGATAAGCACTGTTAAAAAAAAAAAAAAAAAAAAAAAAAAGGAAGAAATGACCTTCTGTGAGTGCTGAACCAGCTATTTCATTTTCCTCAAGTTTCATTCTGTCATACCACACACAAGGCTAAGATTTTCAAAGAGTCAAAGCTCCTTCCTTTTCTTTATAGAAGATTAACCATTAAGACTAGAAAAAATAAATGGATTGCTGGTATTATCAAGTACTTACATACAAAGGAATTAACAGAACCAAAATATTCAAGGCATCCACCCTACCTGATAACTGCTTCCTTTCCAGAACTTTTTCATCTCTTTGCGCCTCCAAGCAACAAGAGAGCTAGTAATGAGTGTACACGGTACAAGGTAGAGAAGGGCAGGTTGTCCCATCTTCATTAATGCCAGAACAACAAAAGTCAGCACCATACCAATGGCATAAGCTATAAAACACGATCAAGAGCAAGTATATTTTTAAACAAAGCCAGTAGTGTAGTAAACCAGGAAAATATTTTTTTTCTTTAATTAGTATCTACCTTGCTAATATAATGGAAAAGGGACAATAGATCGTTATGTATTTGCATGCTTTCTCAAAGCATCTGTCATAAAAATACTCGCCTAAAGCGTGGGCAGTCACACTAAAAAATTTATGAAAAGATTTGACAACATTAAGCCTTTACTTGAAGAAAACTATGTAGTTCTGCCATTAAAAAAATAGCATGAAGATTACTACTATCGGAAAAAAAAAAATCTCGATTTACCTATTGTGCAGGAAACATAGTATACAGAAGAAGAACTTGTTTGAACATCAAATCTTCGACAGTAGGCAACCAGAAGGCCTTGAACAGAGAGGAAAAAGAGTCTAATAGTTTAACGAGAAGTTCAGCCCTGAATTCCTTTCTCCTCAATTACCCAAATCAAAGCAGCATAAAAAGAAATTACAGTCAGAGTTCCCCTCGCTGTGTGTTATCTTCTTCCCAACTCTTTTCAGGGAAGCTGAGAACCAGTTTCAGAAATCCTGCATTAGGTATTGAAAAATCTAAACCACAGCACAAATATGCTACTGAGATGGGTATTAAGAGGTTTTCTTACATTTAAGCAAGGTAAGTACTTTGTGTTATTTCAGTGCTACTTCAAAGGCACCAAGACAGAAAAGTAACAACCTAGTTTTAACACTTTTCTTCAATAGAATTTTAATGCTCTTAGCAATCATCTATTTTGCTTCGGTGCAGATCACAGGAAAAGGGAGAGTCGTCACGAGATGGTGCTTTGTGCCTAAGTAATTTGCCCAAGACTCCAAGTTGAGCTATGGCCAAATTCAGATCTTCTGAGAAGGACAGAAAAACTTGATGAGACATTTTCCATTACCTCAACTCTAATTATGCAGTCTATGACACAAAAATGCTATTAAGTCACAGAATCCTTACTTTCTGACAGATTTCAGTGAGATTTCATTACTATTGACAACTGGATTTATCTATGAAACTTGCATGATCAAAAGATGTAACGCTAAAGAAAAGTAATAAAAAAAACAAAACCCCATCATTATTTAAGTGTACTGTAACACACCAAGCTCTCTTCTACTCTGGCTTTCATTGTATTCCATACTAACAGCAATGCAAACTGTTGCATTTGATTAATAATTACTCTGTAGAATAAATCCTAATTTAAGCCAGTTGAGAATCAAAACCGTAAGTTACAATTGCAAAAAATGTCTGCTCACCTGGGACAATAATGTCTCCAAAACCCAGCAATGAAAAGGGCATGTCACACAGTGTCGCTGCTGAGTATTCAAGTCTAGGCACTCTAATAACCACAGGTAACTGTAAAACAGTATTTTAGAAGCCCACATAAATCTAATTTAAAGCATCTCGGTGGCTCTTTTTTGTTTGTTTTTTTAATGAATGAGCAGTTTTAGTATCATTAATGTGTCACTAATGCAGGACTTCAAAATAGGTAGGACCTAAAGTGAAAACCAGAAACCAACAAGGAGTGGACAACGCCTAAGGCAACAGATAAACTGGAATTTAAGATTCACAAATAATACGCACACACCAAAAACAACTTAAGACAGCATTCAATCATATAATGAGAATAGCAAGTCTGGATTATTATCCTAACAATACAGTGTTGATCAACGATTTCCAGGCCCTGAAGAGAAATTTGGATAGTCAGGTTTTCCCCAAAAGAATAGTCTTTTCAGAGGGAATGATTTAAAAATCCAGTATCTGAAATACAATCCTTACTTTCTCATGGGGAGCTGAGCGTTCAGTAGGGACTTCCACCAAGTTTCCATCATTCTAGGATCAAACCCAAGTCAACAGGTATTTAATACTTACAAGAAAATAGCAAAAGCTGGCTATATTTTGTGAGAAAGTTATGCCGAAAAGCACACTATGAATTAGCTACAAAATGTCAGTATTCATAAGCTGTGAATGTTAAAACAAAAATTCATACCTTTTCACTGTTTCCAAAGGGACCAGCTGCAACTTCGACCATTATACTTGCCCCATTCTGAAATTAAGGTTCGTTTTCCAATGTTAGCACTTTAATACACCAAAGCATTCTTGTACTACATCTACAAGAAGTGCTTGCACTTTATCTTACAATTTTTTCCAGAAAATTTCAGGAAAACTCCTGAACATTAAAAGTAAAGCAGTGTTACATGGTACTGTTTTCAGTATAAGAACATGCCATTCAGCATAAAATGACTTAAAAAAAAAAAAAGGAAAAAAAAAAGGAAAAAAAAAGGAAAACATCAAACCAGTCCACTAGGTATTGCTAAATTTTAGATAAAGATGTGCCAGGTTTTTCTGCCATGACCTTTCTGCTTCCAAAGAAGAGAAAGTATGCTTGCATACAATTCGTAGCATACTGCAAATGAGCACTGCAGAAAGTACAAGAGCGTGTTTCATAAAGGGAAAGCAAAAGAAGGAAGAAAAGGAAGAAAACTGGAGAACAGTCATTTCTCATCATCACCCTGTCACACAATTGGAGAGAGTATTTCTGGCTCTATGACTGCAGAAGACTTAACTCACTTAAGAAATTTACGGCACCTAAACAAGCACTGTGATCTATGACCCATATAAAATAGGAATTTAAACCACTGCTGTCTTTAAGGGTTAGAAAGAAAGTCTGCATTTCTGCCTCAAGAATACCAAAATACTAATCTGTCTGACAAAAATACTGCCACAGTGACCAGATGTTATTTTTATTTTGAAGAGAAATTCAGTCATACCTTTGTGATAAATGGTGTTATGAAGACAAAAAACACATCATAGAGAAGAAGAAGGCCTAGAAGTATCACACAGGACTGGCAGAAAGAAAAAAACAAAACAAAAGAACTGTTACTATAGGCTTTCAAAGACTACAAAATTAGTTTCTGTTAAAATTACTGTAACACAATGTTAAAAAATAAATAAAGAACGGAGGAGGAAAAAAAAGGAAAAAACATCATACCAATTTTTTATTTTTCATTATTAAAAACAGCAAACAATTATTGTTTTCCAGTACTTCCTAAGTACTGAAAAACTATCTCCTGATGTTGAACTTATGTACACATGGTATTATAAAACCTTTTTTAAGAGAAAAGAAAGAAAAAAACAAAACAAAAACCAAAAAAAGCCCTGTAACTTACAATACCTTAAAGTTGGGCATTTTCAGTGTTTTAATGAAGTTCAGGCAGAAAGCAATTCCCAAAATGTCTTGCAACATCCAAGCCCACCTAAACATAAGAACACACGTTCACACGTTGTCCATGTTACTCATGGCATCTATATATAATACTGATGTTTTGGATTTTGCTGGACATAGCAAGCTTGCAAAAGGGAACAAAAAGCATGAAGCTGTTTTTTATGAAGTACTGCTAAAGGAACTGCAAAAATACAGTAGTTTTACGCTGTTCCCTAATCCCAGTGCTGTGCACAGAAAATGAGTTCAGCAGAGGACAGTGCAGGCTGCTGCTGTTCACTTACACGGCTGTTCACTTGCTCAGTGAGGAAATGGACCAGAAGCCCTGCTTCCAGTACTGAGGATTTTACTACAGTATTTCTTTATTTATGGTCTCATGCTTACATTCCTATTTCTACACCTTTCTACTCCATAGTGATCAGTAACAACCAAGCTAGTTGGTCCTCACCTTCACAATTTTTTTGCAACTCCAAATTACCACACAGTTCATTTGTATAGCTTTGTTCTCTATTATTCTCATACTTGGTAAGTTTCATAAATACTTTTATAATTTCTTTGAAATCGGCACTGGAGTTTAGAAGGACATCATGTGCCAGAATGAGTTGCACAACAGGAAGTTTGTTGAGGACAATTATTCATATTACCCTTTCAAGTCAGGATGCATCACTTACCTATCTTCATTTCGGAACACAGCCCAAACAGCAGCTGCTGCTATGCAGAATGCAGCAAGAAAAATAAGCCTCACTTCAATATTTCTGTTGCCACACACAATCCTGAAAGAAAAGTAATTGAGTGAAAGCCCGCAACAGACAAAACACACGCCTGTGCTGTGCAGTACAAAGTGCTCTCATCCTCACACCCCCTCATCCGTCCCTTTGTTTCACCAACACTCAGGAGTTTTGGCAACAGCAGACTTTATCAAACTGCATTCACATTTTCACACTACCTTGAGTAGAAACCAGAAGATACCCAAAAGACACCTTATAAAAATTGAGAGGCATACAGTACCTGCACTGCCCAAATGGGATTTCTCCTATTAATGCAGCAAGACAATTGTACAGGCTCATTGCAGATGCCAAGCAGAAGACCAGTATTATAACATACACTAGATAAAAAGAGTGAGAGACAGGAGTCAGTGACAAAATACAGTGGGGAAAAAAGCACGGTAAACAGGAACGTACACGTGATGCAAACTGTTAACAGTTGTAGCACTACTCAGTGCACCATTGTTGGAGATCACAGTCAACAGATTACAAAAAAAAAAAAAAGGGCCAAAATTTGAAATGTCTCTACCATGATTAGTTCTCTTCAAGACACCAGTTTTGAAATCTCTGAATAGCAATAAAAATAAAATAAAAAGAACTGAAAATCAACAAAGGAACATCTACAACCAAAGACCAAAACCCAACCTTTTTCTTCCCTTCCTTCAACAAAAAAATGACATCTGATACTGCTTTGAGATGCATTTCTTTGGTTATAGCTAAAATTGATGTATTTTTTTAGAACTACCAGCTTTCTCAATTTCTGTTAATACTCCTCCCATCAAATTTCCCTGCAGTCATTTTGCCTGTTCATGTATAAAAATTTCAGCAACTACAAGATCGGACTGATGATTTAAGTGGCTCTTTAGGATTCTGAACATGCTACCCCTTCCAAAATTTCTATTAAGCTACCTGGTTGGGAAGTGTCTTTACATTCTGAGTTCCAACTTGTAATATCCTGGAAATCCTGACTTACAGTAAGTTCCTTGAGATACAGGCAGACAATAGAAACAGTAGTTTGCTTGGATTTTTTTCTTGATTGCAACATAGGTCTGGTTAGAAAGTAATTCTAATATCTATAAGAAGACAGATGTGCAGGTTTGGGCTGGACTATAGTTAATTTTCTTCAAAGCAGCCTGCATAGTGCTACATTTTGGAACTGTGACCAAAGCAGCCCAGAACACACACTTCTGTCCATCTGCAAGTAGGCTGGAGGACTACAGGAAGTCCCAAGACATCTAAGGGATCTGTGTTTACATGTAGCCATTATATATGATGAAGGCCTGGAAGTAGTTAAACACCAGCCTTTCTGATGGGAAGGAGTGACTGAATTCCTCCATCCACTCTACTTGTGCTCACAGCCTTTTCTTTACTTTAAAAATCCCATCTCAACCTACGAGTTTTCTCCCTTTTGCTCCCCCACACCCCTGCAGGGGAGCAAACAAGCAGCTCTGTGTTGGAAACACTTCTTGTAGCACTTCAGTTACACAATTATGCCACAATTTGAGAATTTAAATAGGTAATTGCTTTTAGCACCTCTAGAAAGGCAACAAAAAATGCATACATCAGCACTGTTCTGCTTTAAAGACCATGATTATAGTATGCTTCTATCACAAGTTTATGCATACTTTGTGCAATTCTGTACTGTATATTCAAGATAGTAATGTTGTAACATTGAGTTAAAGCACAATGCCAGTGTGAGTCCTTTAAAGATCATCTGTTTTCCCTCTCATTTGTGAAGTTGCAAGTATGCCTAACCTTTTATAAGTGAACCAAAGAAAGCAACAGAACCAATAAAAGCCAGAAAACTTGAGGGAGTGTCTGGATTTTTTTTTCCTAAAGTATTTACTTTTCCTCCACACTCTTTAGTTTAGTATGAGTAGTACCCTCAGATTTTTAATTTCATATCAACTTGGACCTGCTCAGAATTAATTCCAGCTACCAGAAAGGCATCACAGAGAAAGCAACAACAGAGAAAATTCCATAACCCAAAACTTAAATCATTATTTAAGTTTAGGTATGAAATACACAAGGAAGTTGGAAATCTAGAAATATCTGGAATTTAGTCTACACAGAGAAGCTAGCTAAGGGAAATTGTATAGTTTTGCTGGTTACTCGATCCTAATGTCAAGTACTGATGTTAGGATTGACATTCACATGTTATGGTAATCACATCAGCGTGGTGGGGCTTCATTTGGCTGTTTGTTTTTAATCAAATACAGAATTTTCCCTAGAACAGCATATCATACCATGGTAACAGTTTGCATCTGATCCAAAGAGCACAGAACTAAGGCTTCTCCGAAAAAGATGTTACATATTTTCTTTGAACCACTCACATTTTCTTCTCTCCCTGACTAATTTATTGCTCCCTTCTGTTTCTCCTCCTTTAAAGGGCCTCACTCTTCACTTCATCCTCCTGTCCCCTTCTCCTTTAAGAAGTCTCCTTCACTTCTTCCTAAAACTTCTTGAAACTGCGTAAACAGGTGAAATTTTTAAGCTGAAACTATTGATCAAATTAAAAGATTAATCAGTCTTCTATTTAGACACGTTTAGCCAGCATAGCACTGCCCACACAGTCAAGACAACCAAAAATGGACAAAGCCAGACATGAGCATTGTGAAAGTTCTTCTGTAGAAATTGAAGGGTGAACTATAAAAAATTCCAAGAAATATTGAATTTGGAAGGAATTTGATTTCAGAATGAAAGTTACAGTATTTGCTCTAGAAAGTGCCATTTTAAAAACTGCATGTCTTCTGGTTGCAGAAGGAAAAAAATCAACAGGTCGGAAACAAGACTTTAATCAAATTGCATCATTCAAGAAACTACCTCATTGCTGCTGTGCCTCAGTGTTTTCTATCAGGGGAGTGCCATTTAGCTTGATACTTTAATGAGGGCACTGCAACCTCAAACCCAAGGTCAACAAAAAAAAAACTTGACTCCAAAGAATAGTACTCATTGTCATCCTCCCAGAAGCATCAGTATTTATCAAGGAGGATTTCTTTCTTTCTTAAAATTCCTCATCAGTCACCTCTCTTCCACCGTACTTCACTCAGAATGAGCACTGTACAGGCAGATCTAAGACAGTAGAAGAAAGCTTCCTTCTTTTTTCATTAGTAACTGTATTTTTTCGATTTTCTCCTCAATGACAGTGTAGAATAAAAAAAAAAAATCATATGTAGAAATCATAGAATGGGCTGGGTTGAAAAGGACCTCAAAGATCATCCATTCCAACCCCTGCTGTGTGCAGGGCCGTCAACCACCAGACCAGGCTGCCCAGAGCCACATCCAGCCTGGCCTTGAATGCCTGCAGGGATGGGGCATCCACAGCCTCCTTGGGCAACCTGTTCCAGTGCATCACCACCCTCTGTGTGAAAAACTTCCTCCTAATATCCAAACTAAACCTCCCCTTAGTCTTATTTTCACTTAGAAATCTAGCTTCTCAGACTTAGACACCTAATAAGATCATGCAGAAAATACATCAAATGAGATTATCCACTGTTTCTTACCTAGCCATTTGTAGAAGAAATAAAGTAAAATCAGCATGACGCAACAGATGACAACAAACAAGATAACTGTCAGAGTGGTGAAAGTAACATTTTCCTCCTTCTTCCTTCTTGTTTCTCTGTCCCCAGGACTTGCCGTTGCTTTCAAATTCTCACTATATTAGGAAAATGACGAATAAATTTATTTCAGATGAGAGATTATGAAGAAGTTCTACTGTGATCAGAATTGTCTTTTATAAAGCATTTAAACTGACAGCATTTAGACCTAAACCTCATCTCTATCAGGCTTCAAAGATCTCAGAAAAGCTGAATGTGTGTTGATTGAGTTTCTCTCCACTTTTTTGATGAAGTTGTGCACTTCTAACTTAGCACAGTTCACAAGAAAAAGGTTTTTACCCACCCCCCTTTCCACCAGTAAAGGAATTGTCAACTTTAATGAGAATTCGTAATCAAAATCCTGATCAGTATGAGGAAAAGCTGTTTAATATCAGAACTTTTAACCTTTTTAGGATGTGTGCTCTCAGCTTTATTAGCGCACCACATCTGACTTCAAAATATCTTGAACTAAATACAGTCAATCTCTATGACAAATTAAAACCATGCAAATCGCAATGTCTAAAACCTCAATTACAGACAGTAAGCTTCTGCAAAGCCCCCACACATAAGAGTAACAAAGCCAGCTAGTAACTAATTCTTTTACCTTTAAAACGCAGAGTAAATGAAGGGGGGGGACATAAAGTAGACATTTTCACCAGAAGTCAGGTTTCTATGTATGCATACTCCGTATTTATAGCTCACCATGCAAAATAAGGAGACAAACTGTTGTGTTTTCCTCTGTTCTTTGAGCAGATAGCCCTATTACTCTTTGTACAGACACTAGTGAAACCTGCCCATCAGATAGCATGTTCCTGACGGATCCCAGTGCCTACCTACAACAAAATGCTGAATTCAGCACTGAATCAACTACCTTCAAAAGAAAAAAGCCCATAGGAGCAAGATGAATCACCTTAGAGAACATGCTTTAAATAAGCAGCAAAAAAAAAAAAAAAGCTCAGCCTAGACTTATGAAAGTGCACGTCTAACAAGTTTAATATAATTACATCTAGTTTTTTTTCCTCCAAAATGGGAGACAGCATCACATTTTGTTATTTTAGCATTCAGTGCAGCCACACCCTAAAACACTGTGGGGCAAAAAAGAAGTATAATCACATCCAACCTTTAAGAAAGAATCCCCCCTTCTATTGCTTTAATCTCTTTAGAAAACAAAAAATCACTACTATTTGCATAACAAGTGGTGGGAAAGAGGAAGCCACAGTTATCACATGCAATCCACTCTGAGTTCTGGGGAATAAAGTACTAGAACAGACAGCATGAAGCTGTATGCAGTAAAGCATGCTGGCCCTGCTGCATGCACAGATATCCAAGACCAGCTACATCCAATTTAACAAGAGACTAAAACAAGTTCTGTGCACCTAGCATGCTTTATTTCACTCACTAAAGCTGCACGGTCTTCCAACACCATGCAGAAACCCCTCCTATCCACTTGTTTCCTTGCTCTGGCCACACACCATACTTTTTACACACATCTCATTTCCTCTACCTAGTCCCAGAGCTGCTCTGCCCCCTGGCTCTGCTGCCATCCACCAGATAACGCATGGATCATTGGTAGATAAGCCTGAGCGGACTTTGGCTGGAGCCACCCAGACACAAGTGAATTGTGTTCCTGAGTGCTCCCAGTGACAGAACTGTAGTGCAGACATCCCAGAAGGTGCTACCCAGCCTGTGGGGACAAGGCAGCACAGGTCCCTGTGCAGACCATATATGTATACACACCTCCTGCATCACTGGATGTTGAAGATGATACTTTCTCCGCAGATATTAGAGTGTTATGATGTTAGTTATTGGGCATACGGTAACAAAACATTATCAAAACATCAACTCTCACTCATCCTGCCAAGAGCTGCATTATTCCTCTGGGACTTGTACAATCTACTGCTAAGGATTCCTCAAAGACCTACTGAGGGATACAGCAGAGGAAGAGACCAGGAAAGTCTACATTGTGTTACACCTTTTTGCATGCCTGCCTTCAGACTCTTCCTATTCAGAAATGTTAATCAAAGATAAATTATTTTAAGCTGAAAACTCTAAGCAGCTTAGGTCACAACAATTTTATGATTTTTCAAATGTTACATATATAGAGAAGCTCAAGGGAAAGCATCTAATTGCACCTGGGTCTTCTAACTCTTTAACTAGTACCCCAAAAGAACATTGTTTCTTATAACAGCTACAGATTTCACAGAATTTGAGTCCATTTAATTTAATCAGTTCTGTTGTACTGACTTACAGTTCTGCAACTCCACTCCAGTAGGCCCCGAGTGCCACAGTGAACACAGCAATTACAAAGATGACAACCATACTGCAATCAAACTCCGGCAAAGGCGGTGAATAGAGAGCCACATTAATTTCATCTCCAAGAGTCTGAAAAACAACAAACAAGTTGGTTCACAAGGACTAGAAGGAAACTGTATTACTTATTTTCCAACACAATTTTAACTTAGTGTATAACATATCCCATACTTTTATCATTGTAAAGCACTGATGCCTTTCATACCACCTTCCAGGATGCTCAGATTTGAAAACAGCCTTATTACTATTGCTGTGACAACATATAGATAGAACAAGGCAAAAAGGTACTTCTTTGCCATCTTACAACGCTTCTGAGAAGTTATACCTGTAGCCCAAATGCTTTTCATCCCCCAAATACACCAAGTGCTAGCAGAGACCTCAGCTCTGCAGGAACACATCTCTGGAGTGCATTGCCTTGAAAAACAGACATACGTCCACTGAGATATGAGCAGAGGTCTGCCTCTCACTACTGAAACCACAAACCTCGCAGTTCAGATACGGGCAAGATGCTTCGGACAGGACACAGTAAAAACTCACAGCAAGAGAAAGTTTTGAAAGTTTTCACAAACATGATTTGAGATGGATTCAAAAAGAAAAGAAAGCAATTTCATGTAACTTAAAAAACGTAAGACTGAAAAAGGTGAGAGGGAGCAGAGACATAACTGATACCAGTTCGAACAGAAGCCTTGAAAGCAAAACCAATGTGCTTCAACTAGACTGAAAGATGAGAAAGGAAGATGATTTGACAGGTGATGGGCAAAGTTTGCTGCTGTCGCTGAAGTAAGCCAGGGCACCTAAAGCAGCCCCACAGTGAGAACAGACTCCATAGATGTGGTAGAAGAACAGACTTGCTAACAGACTGCATGTGGGACAAAAACAGAAGATGTGAATGTGTCAGGCAAGTTGGGCTACAGGAAGATCAAACTGGCGGTGGAGAGACTGAATGGGAAGCTGAACAGTGCAGTGGAAAACATTGGCCATTTGTGAAGAAAGTAGATTCATCTCAGCACCTGAATTAGATAATTACAGAAATTAACCTTATTGCAGCCTACAGAAGTCAGAAGTCATTCCTTTGCCTCAAGTTATGGAAACACATTATCACACTTTTAGAAAATACAGAAGAAAAACTGCTGAAACATTACAGTTATAGGAAGTGAAACAAATTGGATAAAGGCAAGAAGTCTTACTCTAATTACTGCATCCTGTACGTAAAAACAAACAAAAAACTAATGACTTACACATTTACAAATTAGCAGGCTGCATTGGCGGTGCATTCGTGGGCGGCTGCCCTAGATGATCTTTTTCAACTTTCATAATTCTCAGTCTATGTCTAAACCCAGTTCTTCCTTTCAGCTACACTAAACTTAAGAAGCATAATTCACATTAGAGTATAGAGCACTTATTTCCTTTTGTTACTACTGTTCTGCTCTTCACTGAGAACTTGTGAAGTCTCAACTGCCACCACAGAGCACTAGAATGAAACACAGCACAAGAGCTGCCCACTTCCCAAAAGGTCTGTGACACTGTTGCTACCAACACTCCTCGTGCACCTGATTCAAGTGGTGAAAGCTAACAGAAATGAAGTCTTGTACGAAAACACCAACCAGCTCCCCTCAGACTGGTACTGTCACTCTTCTAATTAAAAAGAAAAAGTTGGAAGCCTTGAAAAGCAATAAAACAAATACAGCTGAAATAGGAAGAGCATGATGGCTGACAGCACCTAAGCAGCACATATCATTCAGAACAGCTACTGCTGGTGATGTGACAGAAGGCTTTGGCAAAAAACACAACAGAATTGGGAACGAATCACTTCAAGGTTAGGCTTTAATTCTTACTACTTTCATGAAGACAGCTTCTAAGACAAAAAGAGTATTTTTTCTCCTTGATTCAACCGCCGTATGAGACATCACCTGGCACACTAATCTACCAGGAAAGTTACTTGGTGAATTGTTATAGCTACATAGAAACAACACAGAACAACACTAGGCAATTAAGTTGTTCTGAGTCTTGTCTGCATCAATCAGGGATCTTACCTTGACCTACTTTCCCTCCAGGTTAGTAAAGTATTTATCACAGCCATTCAATTAAGCAAAAAATCATCATCTTCTCTTGCTTAATTGAAGACATTTCAAGACAGAGGAAAACCAAAACAACTCATTCATGAGTATGGCATATCAATGCTTTGCAAGAACCAATCTTTAATGGGACAATAGAGAAAATAACCAAAATCCTAGACATGCAGGCACAGTTTCAGTTTGCACACTTACCTGCTACAACTTCCCACGGCAGGTCTGAAGGTTAAGAGCAGAAATGGTGAAATGAGCTTGCAAATGCAATCCAAGGAGCTAAGACTACACAGGTTGCTGCAAGCCTCTGCTATTTACTAGAAAACATGTGGAGTGCAACTTCTGCCTAGCAAAGCTATTTGACACTAAATAAAACAAACAAATCAAAGAAAAACAAATTCCCCTGAATACAAGTGTAGGAGATAGCAAACTGCCAGATTTTAATGCTACGCATTGGCCCACCTCACCATGAATTCATCCACAGAAACTTGAATTATACCAGCTAACTTCTCCGTAATGGATGCTGTCATGCTATAGAAACAGAACATATCATCTTGGAAGGATTAAGAAAAAAGTGAAATAATATTAATAATTAAAAAATAATAATAATCACACTTGGTTTAAGGTCCACCTAGACAAGGGACTGCTTGCCTGCAAAATACCATGCTGCTAGATGTAAGCTCAGCTGTTCTTGCTTCTGTACTACAGCTCCTGACGTTTGTCAGGCATCACAATTCTGTCCAACTCTACTGAAGGATACTTATCTTGTTTAAGATGAAGAGTTTTATTTATTACCCTCTCTCCAGTATTGTTTCCCATTCTTAGTGTTCTAATTAAATGTTTTTGCAAATAACTTGAAGCAGGAAGCCTACTCATGACTCAATATCCATCCTGTGAAAGAGTATCTATTCACATTCAAACCAGGAAGACATTCACGTCTGATTTAAAATTATTTATTTGTTCAAAAATCTTCAGACTATACGTACCATTACATGCTGAAATTATATTACTTACCAGCTGCATATCCATTATGTCCTTATATCTTATAAGAGCAACTGGTAGAGATAAATTTTCAAAATCAGTCTTGTTATCTGAAGGAGGAGACTAGAAGAGAAAGTGTCAGTGGTTCACATGTTGTGTCTGTTTGCCAAGCAGGTTTCTATACGCAGAATGTCCTTCACATTTCATCATACTTGTAGGGAGGAAAATAGAGCTAGTTCATCACTTCTGGCAAAAGGTTAACAAAGGCAGATGTACTTAAATCAAAACAGGAGCTACAACCAACACATTTGGATTTATGAAGGCCTTGTGCTTTCACAGGATTATAAGGAACAAACAAAACATGCTTTTTATTTCCTATGCATTTAAAGCAAAGATCAACACTTTGTGATCTGAAACTGCAAATATTTGTACTTATATTTTGCAGCTGTAATAGAGAACAAAAAGGAGTAACAGGAGTATCTATAAAGATATGCCAGTGCCCTCTGTATTTCCAATTTCAGATGAAGTTTTCCTGATTTATTTTTTCCTCATTGTGTGTTTAAAACAAAATATTACTTATGACGACAGGGAGCATGGCCCTCTGGTCACATGAGCAGCAGCACTAGCACTGCACTCAGCAGGGAAGATTAACAACTCACACTGGAATCCCACACATCCCTGTGGTCCTCTGCTTCTGGGACTTCTCTGAACTATCTCCGAGCAACACAACCTCAGACCAACACATAAGACGTTACGGCAGTACAGAAGAAAATCGTATGTTGTAACTTACCAGCCTAGCTTTACTGGCAATCAACAGCATTTTAGCACCCAAACTTTGAGCAATTTTTGCTTTCTCCAAAAAAGTGCAGTTTCCTCTCATCACAACAACTGCTTTGTCCTTTATTACAACAGCAGGAACTTCAGAAGAATCGCAGAGTACCGTAGAAGTCAGGTTTTCCAGAGACCTGAAAGTCTGCAGAGAGAAGAGCAGAAAGAAAGCAGTTTGATAACTCACTCTTACCTGGAAGACTGATTAATACGCTTCCTAATCTGAGGTTTGCCACAAAAAGGCATAACAGAAAGGAGTCACACATTTAGCAACATAACACTGGGGCAATGGTTTCTACAGCCCACAGTATTGAAGGAGGTTTGTAGCTGTGCATAGCTGAAACATCTGGCTGCTGGTAACAAGTTCCACAGCAATTGTAGCTGTAATGTAAACATAAGACATTGGAAATATTATATTCATATAAATTCCATTGAAATAACATATTACATAGGAAAATCACTGCCTGTAGTTCTGGAGAATCCAGCGTATGTTTTGTAGTATTTTCAGGCTTTGAGTCAAAAAACAAAACCAAAAAACAAGTGCAACATAACCAGAGTTCTGAGGCATAATAAGCATTCAAGAACAATTGGCATCTCAAAAAACTCCTTCTATTCTTAAAGTTGAATTCAAGATTAACAATGATTTTAAAATTGTTGTCAGGATTTAGTTAGTGAAGGCATCCTAGTGGCCAAAGTAGCACAGCAAAGATGTTTGGGAAGACATGATTTTTTCTGTTTTACAGAGTTAACCTGCTAATGAATGACAGAAGGGAAAGGAGAGAAATGAGAGGAATAAAACTGCCTTCACCACTTCCAAACTCAAAGCATTTCCTGTTTACAGCAAGAATGCTGGATGAAGAAGACGTGCTTTTGCCTTACACCCTGGATTGAAAAACTCTCAAAAATGCAGCAGGATGAACGTTCCAGGCAGTCTCCTCTTCTACCACATGGTTTCAAGACAATTAAAAAGAGATCAAACTGACAAACGAATACAAGAAAACTTTTCACATGTTTACAACATTTTTATAAACAAAAAACTTTACTCGCAAATCTAAAACTTGGACATAGTGATGACACTGAAGAAAACAGAAGAATAATGTATTTAAAACTAGTGTTTAACAGAGAGAGTGCCACCTTTACCAACTTTAGGAAAGACTTGTTAAGGGATGCAAATGTTCACTGCATAAATCCTTTTTTTTTCAGTGTAGCACCAATGTAGCTCAAAGACATGAAGATCAGTTATAACTGATCCAAATTCATCTTGTGTTCTAGTTTTTTTTATAAAGTATGATTAGAAATTACTTACAGCATTGTCCAGGCTGCTTGGGAGAGTTATCCAGTTAGAATTGTAGGCTATGCAGTAATCCTTTGTTAAGGGAGTTACACCATTTCCAGAAGCATGCAGGATTCCCTCATCTGCATTTATCTGCAATAAACAAAAGAGTCTAAATTAAACTTTAGACTCTCACTGTGAAGATGTTCCCCTAAAAATCTGTCAGGAAGAGAAAGTGCCTCCAGAATTCTTTAGAAATACATGAATGGATTGATTCTACGAGAGATGGGAAGCCGGGCAACAGGACAGAATCCCAAATTTTTGGCACACGCACGGTGCTAATCAATGAGAGTGCTACAGAAGTCTCCCTCCCTAGACTGGCTATTCTACAGCAAGTGAGACCTATTGAGAAAAGAAAGCCATGTGACGACATTGTTTCAGAGGTTTATGTCTGCCTGGTTTGAATAGCAAAAACCTTCTTCAGAGGAATCCATTCTATCGACCATAGAGCCTGAACATCTGCTGGGAGAACTGTGTCAAAGGGCCTGAGCACATTAACTGTTTAGCACAGAGCAGTTCTTCAGCCATTGGCGAGTCACATTGTTTCATGATTTATCACTAGTACAGAACTACCGAGACTTCCTCTTAAATGCAGCCACCTGAAAGTACAAATTAATGGCAAATTAAAAGCATAAGGGACTTCAACAGGTGCAAAACCAAGACATTTCCATTCATTAAAGCCCTTTCTGCTTCCTGAAAGAGAATAAGAAATACTTTCTGTACTCCAGAAAATCAAGTGTTAATGCTACACGAGCACAAGCCTGCCTAAAAGGAGTGATTACTTGCTGATTTGATACGCATGTTGTGTTTGGCAGGCTTCCTGCTCCAGGGATGAATCAGGGAATACAATTCCTGCCCACAAGGCAGGAGAGGGATCCAGAGCTGATATATTCATTGCTGAGCTCTAATCTAGAAGCAAAAGATGAAGAGAAACACGGCATGCTGTACCTCATTTGGAACATCCCAACTGAAGTAATCCTGCATCCAACTGAATTTTTATTGTTTTGCAATTGCTTCAGTTATCCTCTTTCACAAAAGACAAAGGCCACAGGTTGGGACTGAAGGCCTATCCCGTAGGCAGAAAAATGTTCCCACCCAAGGAAAGGACCCAGCTGCTGCCCCTGGCTGAAGACACTTCTCAGTGAAGACAATTCTCAATGGTCCTCAAACAATTTGTTGCCTGTTTTTGACCAGCGGTTCCCTCCTCATGCCTCCTTTTATCATGTTTAGGCCTTCCATGTATAATTCCTCATCTTTCATAGAGAAAAGGATATCTTTCAATCCTTATTTTTCCTATTATGCACCCCAGGTACAGCAGGGATATAAGGCTGGGCAGCTCACTGTTCTGCTTCTGAGAGCACTGGTAACCCCTCCACACAGAACACCTGTACTGATGGGATTCAGTGGGCAACAAGACCAAGCCAAGCCTGTATTTATAAGGTCCATCATTGTTAGCATCCAGATAAAACACACAAGAAACTAAAATGCGCAGAACATGAGAAAAGTATTTTACAGGCAGCAAGTAACAACATGAATCTCACAAAAAGGTAAGAAGGTAAGAAAGACTTGGCACAAACAGAACAAGTAACATTCACAGTTCTCCATTGGCACTGCGACACAAACACTCCCTCCCTCTGGGCACTGTGGGCAGGGGAACAGTTCCTTGTGCTTGGAGAGCAGAGGTGGTCCTTCCCTGCATGTCTGCTGCCTGAGCAGCCCCAGCTCCTCATGCTGCCAGTCCTGGGGCACTGCTCTCAGCGCTGGTGAGCTGACCTAACACCTCAGCTAGAACCGGCCTGCTGAGGCACATGTAGAGCACGGGAAGAGGCAGGGCATGGCCTAGAGTTGCACATGCTGCCAGGGAAACCCCTGCCTATGTCAGTAGCAGCAAACCATAGGGTTAAGGCCAAGGAGTAACGTCAGAAAACTCCAATGCAACTGACAACAGCTTCATGGGGCTCACAGATAGCAAGGCAGTACTGCACAGAGACATGAGCTGCTTCACCCACAGCTATGCTCACAGTGATAAAGAAAACTGTGCCTACTTTGAGGCTATCAAGCAGGATACTCTAGGTCCTGACTTACCAAAGCAAGTAAAAAAAAAAGTAAAAAAAAAAAAAAAAAAAAAAAAGAGTAAGAAAAAAAAACTTAGCAGAGTGGTATGTAACGCAGGTGTAGCCTCCATACGACTTCAAGAGGTGATGAAGGTCTTTCGCTGCCACGTTTCCCGGCTCCATTAGGGAGGAGGTTACCTATGGCATCCCCGTACGTCACGAGGCGATGCCCCACGAAGCGTCATTTACACAACAACACGAGCAAAACAACGGGCCGCAAATGCCCAGCGCCCGGAGCAGCAGCGCGGCCCATATCTGTGCGCGCAGCCGGAACCGCACCGGGAGAGCCGCGGGGCCGGGCAGGGGGAAGGCCGCTGGGGAGGCCTGGGGGCACCTCGGAGCGTACCGAGCCGCCCCCGGAGCGCCGCGAGCCCCGTAACCGCGGCCGGGCCGAAGGAAGAGCCGCCGCCTCTGTGGGCGGAGAGAGCTACGGGCCCCGGCCCCGCGGCGAGGACACCCGGAGCCCCGCGGCGCTGCAGCGCCCGGCCCGGCCCCACCACCGCCCGCGCCTCAGCCCGGCTGCGCGGCCTCCTCCCTTACCGGCGGCAGCAGCGATCCGCACAGCGCGGCCCACAGCAGCACAGCGGCCCTCATCTTCCTCGGCCGCCGCCACCCGCTCGGCTACGGGCCGCCCCGCGCCCGTCACGGAGCCTCGGCCGCCGGCTCCCGGGGAGACTCCACTTCCTCTTCCGCCGGGGGCCGCCGCCGCCGCCAGCCGGGACGGCGCGGCCCCTTCCCTCGGCGCGGTGGGGACGGGCGGCCCCGAGCTCGGCCTGAGGGCGGCGCTGCTCTGCGCTGCTCTGCCCGCCGCCTCGGCTGCCGGCTCGGGGCTGTTGGCGGCCGGGCGGCACGGAGGGTCACTGGGAGCGATCCGTGTAGCCGCGCCGCCCGCCTTCCCAGCAGCGCTTCCTCTCGTCCCGTGCCTTCGCTGTGACTCTGTGCAGGCAGCAGCTAGTTTTCCACCTGACAGCTCCAAGGCATTGCGCTTCTGTTGCCTCACGCTGCCGTTGTAAATAGAAGGGAACAAGAACTCCCGCCCCATGTCCCTGCAGAGTGCAGGAGCGCTTTGCTTCGCTGCACTCGCTTTGCTTGACGTGGTTGCAAACACGAAGCCGTGAGAGAGCAGCGCGAGGGCAGCGGGCAGCAAAGCGAGGCGAAGTGCCTGAAGGAATGGGCTGTGAATAAAGAGTGGTTCGGAAAAGGTGGTTCCTTTTCAGATCTAAGAGCACTAGGACTGTGATGTGCGGCCTGTGAGAACGGATGTGACCCACAGGAAGGAGGCACGCCGAAGCAGCTCAGTGATTTACCACTGAGGAAGTTGTACAGCATCTTTCAGTGAAGGCTTTTAGGAGTTTTAGGCCCTTCAGGAAGTGTGTGAGAGGCCCAAAGTGTGTGAGAAAGTGGAGAGACAAAGATAAGGTTGATGTGATCATGGGGGAGAACACAGGAGCAATGGGAGACAAGAGAGCTAAGCTGTGGTCCAGCTGCATTAAATGAAAGTCTCAGCAGAGTAAGGCACCTGCTTGAGTCACTCAGCACCAGCTGTGGTTGTTATAACCACTGGAGAAGGAAGTTCTGCACGTGTACCTTTCCTTCTGTGTGAATTGAAGACAAAGCCTTGGTAAGTATCTACAGGCAACGCTCCCTGCTGCACCGTGGCGAATGTTTTCTGTTGCTGCAAACATCAGAACACTCACTTATGGTAAATAAGCTGTGTGTTGGTTGCACTCTGATGATAACAGCTTGTACATCCTGCAGGTCTGTGAGGCTCCAGCGGTCTGACTAACATTTCAGTGTGCTAAAACAGTACAAAATAGTGACACACCGCGGCACAACTAACAACTCGTGTTCCACAAAAGATTAGTATTTAAAAGACTGGTAGTAAGTAGTACTGTGTCCATCTGCGTGTTTCTGTATCGATGCTGTTAGAATAACTGTGACATGTTACACCTCTTCTTCTGAATCTAAGATCTCAATGACAGATTAATAAGGATGACTTGAATAAGTCCATCAATTGTGTAAAGAAATAAGAGTGTGTATGTGACAATGTATCCTGAGGATAGGAAGGCCCTACGGACGGATCGGGACAGACTGGATCGCTCAGCTGAGGCCAACTGTATGAGCTTCAATAAGACCCAGTGCCAGGTCCTGCACGTCAATCACAACTACCCCATACGTCACTACAGGCTTGGGGAAGAGTGGCTGGAGCTTACTCAGCATTGGTGTGGCCACACCTCAAGTACTGTGATCAGTTCTGGGCCCCTCACTACAAGAAAGACATTGAGACCCTACAGTGTGTCCAGAGCTAGGCAACAAAGCCATGGGGGTCAGGAATGCAAGTCTTGTGGGGAGCAGCTGAGGGAACTGGGATGCTTCAGTCTGGAGAACAGGAGGCTCAGGGGGACCTCATTACTCTCTAGAACAACCAGAAGGGAGGCTGTAGTGAGCTGGAGGTTGGCCTCCTTTCCCAGGCAACTAGTGATAGGATGAGAGGGAATGCCTTCAAGTTGTGCTGGGGATGTTCAGGCCGGATATTAGGAAAAAATTGTTAGACAAAGCAGTGAGGCAGTGCTCATGGCAGTGGTGGGAGTTCCTGGAAGTTTTCAGTAAATGTTTAGATGTGGCACTGAGGGACTTGGTTTAGTGGACAGCTGGACTAAGTGATCTTAGGTTTCTTCCAACCTTAAAGATTCTGTGATCTGATAGATGCTGAAGGATGCTGCACCAACATCTCAAATGTTAAATATGTTCCCTGTAGTCCAGCAGGACTGTGCAGGCTAGAAATACCTGCAGGGAAGAGCCCTAATGCTAGTTAATGATGTGGGCATCCATATATCCTCCTCTAAAATCTTTGTTGGCAATTTAAACAATCCCTAATTTTTAATGTTAGCTTTAACATTTAACCAGAAATAAAAGCAGGTAACATAGTATCAAAGTACAGTAGTATGAGAAAAATAAATGTTATTTTTAACCCCAGACAGAAGACGATTAGGTTGCAAAGATCTTCTGAACCTGGAGAATGACTTCAAGGCCTAAAAGACTCCTTCCCCCCCAATTTTCAATCTCCAACTTATTTTGGATATAGCAGGGAGGAAAACTCCTACCCATAGCTTCTACCTAAGCAGCATAAGATACCAACAAACCACGCCAAGAATTGCATCCTTCCGGAACTGCCATAATTACATCCATCAAAGAAAATAACAGAAACAACTCTCTCCGAAAAACCCCTTCCCTAACCCAAACATAACATGAAATAAAACCTGTAATGACTCAGGCATTCCTAAAGCATTTCAAAGCTTTAGGAACACACACGTTTAAAGCAGGCTTTGAGCACACTTGTTTGAAAGCAGAAACTAAGCTAAATAGCCATTAGCACAGAAAATAAATTGTTTGAATAATAACATGCATATAGTGAAATCCTTTTTGAAGAGATTATGAAATTATCCTTTCCTTCCACCTGCCTGTATTTCACAACATGCACACACTTCTAAACACAAATTATTTTGCACATTAGGAAACGCATCTGAAACATTTTCCATTCCAGTGCCATTCTCCTGATTCTCCAATGGTGCTAGGAACTATATGGGGTATTTCTTTTCATGCACATCACCTTAGCTTTTAAATAAGCTTATCCCAACCAACTTGTCTTTTCTGTTTCTTTTCCTATATCTCTCTATCCATTTCAATCTGTTCTTCTGTTATCTTTGAATTACTATCCTCTAATTTTGAGTGAAAAACTGTAAACAGAAGATTGTTATCTCGCTAGATAGGCAGCTTGCAAGGGTGGCTACCAGCATTAAACATTCAGAAGAAAATACGATGCATGATTTTTAGAGGACTAACATTGTAATTAAGAGACTAGACTCTTCACGCTGAACAGTTATTTCATACAGAAATCAGTAATGCAGGGATTCAGGGTTAATTAACACACAAGCTTCAAAAGGATTGAGGAATTTTTAATGTGTTAATTTCTAAGAACTAAGAGAGAACAGTCACTCAAACACTCAATGTAAATATATTCATAGGAAAATTAAGTAGAGGGCAGAGTAATAGGGCAAAATAAAGCAGGTGACATGAAAAAGGAAGTGGTTTAACCAAAGCAAATTCTACCACCCTAGAAACTCTTGTCTCTTTCACAATGAAACCTCTTGATTAAAGTGACTCAGGGAACATTGTTTCTGAAAGATGCCATCTCTGAGAGACGTACTCACATGGCAACAGCCTGACAGTCTTCTATCTCCCCTCAAGACAATGATCCAAAACACAGTAATACTGGCAGTTAAGGAGTGTTTATTCATTCAAACACACATCTATCAACTTCTCTCCATGTACTAACAGCCTTATCTGAGCATCAGTTAATGTTAATGTACACAATCAAGAGGTGCCTTAGTTTGCTGGACATTATACAGCAGAGAGAACAGTCAATTCAAATGGGGTTTTCAAAGGTAATGTTTAAAGAAGTTAAGAGAAACTAGGGAAAGCCTTCCTCACATGCCATTATGCAGCAAGGTCACCTTAGCATGCATTAAGGAAGCACTATAAGCCTTACTTCTGAATTACATTTTCAAGTTTGTGTCATACTCTCAAAGGTATTGAGTCAGGTTTTAATATTCCTTGATGGTAGAGACTGTGAGGGTAAACATGGATAACTGCATTTAAAAGCATATTACTTTCACTACTAATTTGCAGCTTCAGCACTTGTTGAGACTCGACTTACAACCTTACAGATATTATTTTTAATGGATTTATACATACAAAAAATGGGATTGTTTTGAGTGATGTACAAATCCTTTGTTTCAGACAGCTCACTATGATGAGGTTAATTACTCATCATCTGTTTTGTCTCCATTCACCTTCAGTCTCTGCTCAAGCAAGTTACGGGAAAGGTCCACATCTTTCTTAAGGACCAGCAAGATCAGATGTATATAAATACTGTGACAAAAAATCCTATAATCTAACACTTTTTCTAATTATTTGATGAAGTATCTAAAATTAGTCGTCTACTTGTACGGGCCAATGTCAGCTCTATCAGCATACCCAAAAAGTGTAACTGTAGTCTTGAGTTCAGTTCTTAACCTTCAGTAAGCCACTAGATTCAGTTTAAAAGAACGGATTATTTTCTTCCACATTACTTAAGATGCAAGATCTATCTACATACACATTTAACCACGTATTATATATGCAATTAAATATTCTGTCCAATATTATGCCATCTGAATTTTCCAAAATCTGAGAAAATTAACAATAAAAGACATCATTCATCTTGAATTTCTTTTTCCTGAATAAAGGTGGACATCTGGTAACAATAACCTTGGTTTTGTCCAGGTTGGATTTATATGGAAGTACCTGAGGAAACATAAAAAACTGGTACCATGAGAATCTTCCCACTTACATTGATTTAATAAAATTCAGAAAAGTTTGTCTGCTTTGTGGCCCTGAATTCACAATTCAGATGATGACCTGGAGCTGAGAATTGGTGTTCTTGTTCTCACCCATCTTAACCGCATTAACACTAGATTAAGAAAACTTCTTCCCATTTGAACATTTCTGGATAATATTTCAGGATTTCGGTCATGTTACAGGGTGTACAAAAACAGAACAAAATGTTCAGTAGCCATACTGCAACGCTTAACAAGTTCATTAG